TTCATATTGTCTGCTCCAACTTCAACAGATATTTTAACTTCATACTGAAGTGTTAATATTATGTACTTATTCCATATATCCCATAGCTGTGCTTTTTGAGTAGGATACTAAATTTCCTACAAGTAGTAAAAATTCCTAAAAGAACACGTGTATCAAGTATGGTCCTTTTCTTTGGACAATTAGATTGCTTTTTCAAAATAATTTTTATTTATTGTAATTACTAAGGTTAAGTTTAATGAAAGATTCCAATGTTTCTGTATTTTATGCTATTGAAACAGACTTGAAATGAGTAGAAGGCAGAGTTGTTTTGGTCAAGGCAATAGTCTAAGGTTGGGTTGTTTTGGTCAAGTTTTGTCTATGGGATCTCTCTGTCGTACATCCTGCAGCTCATCAGACATTCCTCTTTTCTAGTCCTGACTCTGTACTGGACCCTCTGGATTCCTCTGCTGGTGACTGGTTCTTCAGAAGTTTCTGCTGCCATCTCAGGGTTCTTGTGGTCAAACTTCAAACTTGTCCCTCTGTTGATACAATACCAGCTTTCCCTTTAGGCAGAAAATGTTGACTTTAGCTAGATAAAGACTCTATATCTGGCTCCCTATGGGTCTCTCTGTCAGCAGACTTCACTGGCTTCAGAGTTCCTTCTAGTTATGATCCTGGATTCTCCCTGTAGTCCTCAGTAATATTCATTCTTTCCTTCAGGCAGACTGACTTTCAGATTTTCTCTGCAGCAGCTATACCTAGCAGATACAGGGACTTCATTTCTCAATAATGAACCAGTTCTCCCAACAAGAATGCTCACTTTAAACCTGACAGTATAATATGGAAGCGCAGTGGCTATCAAATAGTAGATAGAAATCATAATAAAAATATTGCTGGCTTCTAAATATAAACTTTAATAAAATAACAGCGAAAAGTTTGGTTTTGTTTACACATCTCACTTTTAGACATCCTTCACTTTCAGCACAGGGGGGTCAAATCAATCCCCCCTCTGGACTGTACGGCTCCTTGGGCACCTCTACATGAGATGCTACATCGCTGTAGTGATGAGCTACAGTGACATAGTGTCAGTGGGCATGATTGTGATGCCACCGCTACTGTGAAGTAGCTCATTGCTACTACACAGTAGCTCATTGCTACTGCTCAGTAGGGTCAGAAATGACCCGTGTGGCACCAGGACTGTGCAGTACCAGAGTTACTGCACATTTAGTAGTTGCTAAGCAAACACTAAATGACTGTGCAGTAACAACTGTGCAGTTGGGCACATGTGTAGATGCTCCCCTTGGATCTGGATCTGGATGCAGCAATAGCTACAGGGGTTAGTGTAGCTGCCACTCACTCCTGCTGCCAATACACACTATAAATGGGGCTCCATGTCCTAAATTTTGGCAGTAGTATCCATCCCAAATTCATAGCCCCTCTACCAGCACCCCAGG